CGCGTCTTTTGATTTCAACCAATCAGCGTCGACGCAAATGACGTCACACACGGCAAGAGCTAAGCTAAGTTAGCCGAGACGACACTATGTCGGACGGACACGATTTTCTGCCAATCTGTGTTTTTCCCTTTTTGGCCAAATATATATTTTACGACAACTGTCTTGTTGACGGCGTCTTTTATTCGTTCCACTGGGGTTTAGCGGGTGTGTTTATAAAGAGACGAAAATTGTTTGGGGACTATCCCCCACGTTCTAGTTGAGATGGTATAAGAGGCAAAATGACGCTTGCTACTGTTGTTGCGAGTTGCCATTCGTTCTACTAAACCATTAGTCAAACGCCATCATGTCTTCTGTCGTTATTACACAAACAAAAATCTCTTTACTGTTACTAGTGTTAGTGCCTCAATATGGCTACGCTCGTGAAAGCAATACAACGAACTCAAACGCGTCTTCGTTCAATGTTGTCAACAAATATCCGGATTATGCAAATTTTCCTCAATTCTCCGGAGAAATGTTCATAAAAATTTGAAAAACCCGGAATTCCGGGAAAACCCAGAGGACTTTCATCTCTGAAAAGGAAAAGGCAAAATTTGTAACCGTACTGTCGCTCGTAAAGCTAACTTGTATTTTAACTAACAACAAACCCAATTCCGGTAAAGTTGGGATGTTGTGTTGAACTGAAATAAGAATAAGAAGAACAGAATACCATGATTTGCAAATCATGTTCGACCTGTATTTAATTGAATGCACTGCAATGACAAGATATTTGAGGTTCAAACTGATTGTTTTTAGCAAATAATCATAAACTGAGAATTTTATGGGGATGTGTGCATGTACGTATGTGCACACATGCATATTTACATACGCATGCACGCATACAACACTTCTGTTGTAGGATAAAATTACTTATCGTTAAAGCAGAGTTGCAGTACAATGTTCATTGATTTTTCTTAATTTATGTGGGAATGTTGATGGCCGTTGGTAACTTCAGATTAAAAAAAAAAAAAAAAAAAAGCACTTTCCACATCATTTTGGATTGATATTTTGCTTCAAAAACAAAACAAAAAAAAAGTGTTACTTTCTGTTAACTTACTGTTCCCAAAGTCATTTCTCAAGAGCACATAGTAAGGTATACTCTTGCAAAACGTGTTTCAATGTGTGCAGTACTCACTGCAAAGGATTTGAAGAATTTGCGCCTGGCTGGGATCAGTTTCCTGTCGCCTCTTCACCAGCATCTTCTTGACAGAGTTGAGCAGTCCAAACACCTGGCCAAGATTACTAAGCACTGCAACCTCTACCAGGGAGGAAATGTGATCAGTTGGTCAGAGAGAAAGGATTAATTTCGCTTTTTCAAACACAGAACTACACAATTATCTGAACTTAACCACAACAAATAATTGTGTTGGGATTGTCATGTTGGCAACAAGTACCATATTTTCTGCACTATAAGGAGTATAAAGCGCATCTACACTGATTGGCCTATTTTAAAACTCTTTTCATATATAGAGTGCACCGCATTATAAGGCGCATAGAATAGAAGCTACAATAGTGGCTGAGGTTGCGTTATGCATCCACTAGATCAGGGGTGTCAAACTCATTTCTTGTTGCGGGCCACTTCGGAGTTACGTCTTCCCTCCGAGGGCCGGTGCAAAATCTCAACGTTATTTATGACCCATGACAATTTGACATTTCGAGACAGATTTCAGCAAGAATCATGAACGTTGACACACATGATTTGCTCTCGCGGGCCACGTAAAATGAGGTGGGGGGCCGGATCTGGCCCCCGGGCCTTGACTTTGACACATGTGCACTAGATGGAGCGACGCGAAGGGGAATACAATAAAAACACCTTTATTTATATAGCGCTTTCACAACCGCTGCAGCTGGAATAAAGCGCTTTACAGAACATTTAAAATACTCTATCCAAGAAATTCGAATATTGATCCATATATAAAGCGCATCGGATTACAAGACGCACTGTCAGCTTTTGAGAACATCGAATGCTTTTAGGTGCGCCTTACAGTGCGGGAAATACGGTTAACATCTTTGTACTGTACCTGTGTTCTGCAAGACAACGGACTCCTTCAACAACTGCAAGCGGTTCAGCAAATCCAGGAGCTCGGTACTGATTTTGGTCACCACTTCACCCAGTAAACCCACATCAGCAATTCCCTTCCAGAAATTTAGCGTATCTTCTAGGGATAAGCAGACAACCGTATCATACATCTGGTCTCTGAAATGTGTTCAGTGTCGTGAAATGACTAACACATAGAAGAGTGGAGGTACCTGAGATTTCAGGAGAGTCCTTATTGACATATTCTGCTGAACTTAAGATGCAGTCCTCCTTTTCACTCGGCCTCTCGGTCATATTGTCTCCAACTATCTTACCATTAGCAAAGGACTGCTGTGCTGCAAGAGCGATACAAGAGAGTGTGTTCAGATAGTCATAAAAGTCACAATTGACCTATTTTCCTATATCTTGGAATAAGTACAGTTTATGATTTGGGCTTTCTGTTCCCTATCAGAATAGTTGGACAGAAAACAATGCAGATGATGAAGACAGGAAGACAGATACTTTATTCATCCACAAGGGAAATGTACTGTTTCATTCGTCTTTACAATGAATACTCTAACACAAGACAAAAAGGCCATGTTGAATTCGTGATACATTTTAAAACGTGTCAAATACAAAACAGCATCAATGCAAGTCTTTTTTGTTTGTTTGTTTGTATGTAAATAAAGGTAATGTGAAAATACCAGTGCAATATGAAGGTCCCGAATTAAGGCGCTTGGGGATCAACAAACAAAATGTTGACAGTACAGAGTTGAGGGACTGTGATACTCTCATTCCCCTCGCAGGGTGGAATGAAAAAGCCAGATGGCAATGGGGAGGAAGAATTTCCTCAGTTTGACAAGAGAGCAGGACAGTAACAGTCCAGTCACCTGGCTGTGAAGATGCTCCTCTGCCTGGAGATGGGATTGTGCGGTAGCTTCTACAGATAATCCATCATGAACAGAAACTTGTTCAGTGACCTTCTTTCAAATGTCAGGGTAACCAACTCGGTGCCTATGACAGAGCCTGCTTTCCTCCACAGTTTGCCGAGTCCAGAACGGTCCCTTGACTCGAGCCTTTCCCCCCCACCATACAACTACGTACATGAATGCAGAATAATGCATGCATATCTTGTTTTTAGGTGACCCTTAGCCATGTGTTGACAAGAACAAAATGAGTGGAGGCGGCTGCAAAGATGGTCCAATTGATAATCGAGCAGGGGAAATCAACCCCCCCAGATATTGTGATCAATTGAAATGGTGTGAGCAGCGTATCAAAGGACACTGAGACACAAGCAAACATCTCCCTCCTAAAAATGCACCAACTGGAAAAAACAAAAGACGCTCTTTCACCCCCATAGGCAGCACTGGTGTGAGTTCAGAAAGGGAGCCCATGGGCCTCTCTGGAAAGTCAATCTCCTAAGCTTGATGCCATCTTTCCTTGACCTTAGTTGTATTATATCATCAGGTAAAGAAGTGGGGCTGGGCGATGTTTACTGAATCAAAATCAAGGTATGAACCTTCAAAATAATACCGTATTGGTCCAAATATAAGACGGTGTTTTTTGCATTGAAATAAGACTGAAAAAGTGGGGATCGTCTTATATTCGGGGTCTAGACATACCAATTCACGACGCTAGATGGCGCCAGATATCCTTGAAGCGAATGCTGAACTTGACTCCCCAGGCCAAAGTGAACCCCTGTCATGAAGAATAAAAACAAAAATAGCGGTAGCGCGAAGAAGAAAAATTTAAAATTGCGGTAAGAAAGAAAAGAGAAGAAAATAATAGAAGAGATAACAGAAAATGGAGAAACGTAGCGGCAATCTGGAGAAAAGTGGGTCGAAGATCGGCCAGGTTAACCGGCAGCTGAGGAGAAGTTATGATGCAATTTACATTTCAAAAATCAGAAGCCATTCATTTCCGAATGTGATTGCACTTCAGTTTACATATTTAAATGTTCAGATATTAAGGTTTGAATGAGGCAAAATAACATGCTTTTTCTCTCAAATATATTGTTATAATCATTTGTTTCAGATGTACTGTAATTATTTTCTGTATAAAAATTAATTTGGTGTTCAAAGTCTTTTTTCAAACTTAAGTCTTGAAAAAGAAGGGGTCGTCTTATAATCAGGGCCGTCTTTTATTTGGGCCAATACGGTAATATTGAAATGACGACAATTTCAGTCACGTGACCATACCACCCTTGTGTTCCACGTAAATCTCAGTTCAATAAACCACATTCCTGCTCCCAAGTTTGGCCCCAATCAACATTTAAAACCAACAGATGACAGACATCTTACAGAGGGTGAGAGGAAGGAGGGACATTCGCAGAGCAAGCAAGGGACACACGCAGACGTTGCTGCCGAGACAACACACACGCAAGAAATCCACTTGCGTGTTCGCTGTCAAGTACCGTATTTTTCGCACAATAAGGTGCTTCAAAGTATAAGGGTTACCTTCAATGAATGGCCTGTTTTCGTACACAGTACAGTGATTCCTCACGATAGCGCGCTTCATTTATCGTGGCTTCGCTACATCGCGGTTGTTTTTTTTTTTCCGAAGGTACTGTATTCAGAAAGAAATGCTGAATGACTCAGAGGTTTTGTACATGACTGTATGCATGATTATAGAGGTGTCAATTTATCACGTTAATTTTGACTAATTAATTACAGTCACATTTGGCGTGTTGTTTTTTAATCGCGTTAATCGTAATTTTAATCTCAAGGTTTATTGTTTCTGTAGGTGGGTTGCCTTTTTATAATATTGCTTTTTATGTGTTAGCTTCCAGTGTTCGAGGTGTTGAGGGTGGGGAAACAACTGTCAGTCACAGCCTGAAGCGGACATTGATTGGCTGTCAGTATGTTTGAGCTTGTTTAGCAGAAGCGGATTAGCTCCCATTGGAGTTGGGCAGGCTAAGTAAGCAGCGGTGAGGAGAGAAGAGGTGAAAATGTAGGAGTATGTGAGAGTTCTTGATCCAATGAATGGAATATTTACATTCCAAAAACGCCCTGATGACACAATTGGTAAAGGTAGAGTGTTGTGACAAATTTGTAAGGAGTTTGCTTACCACCAAAGCAGCTCAAGTTTATCCTACCACATCAATGCAAAGCACCCAGTCGTGAATGCAGCCATGCCTAACGTTAGCACCGAAAGCGTTAGCAATATAGCAAGCTAAAGCAAAGCTCTTCGCCAAACTAAACTCGAGAACACCCCGCGTACGAGGCATAGCTGCTGTGTCCTTGTTAGTGTATTTGAAGTGGTTGATGTTTATTTCAGCACTTTATTTTGTCATGATGAACAGGTTATTTCTGAAGCGCTAACTTACACTGTGCTTTAAGGGTCTGTTTTATTGATTATCTGAAGCAAGTTCAGTGTTCAGTACTTGTATTGCTCAGAAAGGTGTTCTCACTGTTTTTGATATGTTAACCTAAGCACTTTTTTTATGGACCTGATGTTCCATTTTATTTTTATTTTGTAATTATTTGTAGATTAACAAAAACAAACAAAATAGTGATATCCCCCTGGTGGTCAAAACTAAATGTTGCAGGTACGATTTGGGACTAGTCTCAAATAGAGCAGAAAGTAAATGGCTAGGACTGCACCTGTTCAAGTCTATTTAAAAACAATAAAAGACTTTATAATGCGACTTTTTATGTGATGTCAACCTTTTTATCTGCCTCAATAATGTAATGAATTTAAAATGAAAACAGATTGTTTCACGAATTTTTAAATTCGATTAAAATATAGATTTAATTAGATCAATTAATTACAGATCATAATTAATTAATCTGACCTTTTTTTAATCGCTTGACAGCACCGAGGGTGCGTGGTGGAGGGAGGGAGGGACAGAGAGAGAGAGAGAGAGAGAGAGAGAGAGAGAGAGAGAGAGCAAAAGTGAGCACGAGCAAGCGAGAGATAGAGAGGGTGATTGGGCCTGTCCAAAAAAAGCAGCACGTTTCTCTTCGCCTCCTCATCATTAATACAGATTAGTTGTCTTTCTTGAACACATCGGCTGCGTCGGGATAGCTGGCCAGAAGCTAGCTGGAGGCTAATGGCGGTGCTAGCGCGGGACCATCGGTCAGACGGAGTCATCTTGCATCATGACAACGCAAGGCCTCACACAGCAGCTCAAACAGTGCAGACCATCAACAAGCAGGACTGGGAACTGCTCCCTCATCCCACCCATTTACAGTCCAGATATTGCCCCTTCAGACTTTCACCTGTTTGGTCCCTTCAAAGCGTTCACGAGAGGCACCAAGTTTGAAAATGACGATGAATTCAAAAGTGTTGTGAGCGATTGTCTGAGACGTCAGTCAAAGAATTTTACACTGAGGGAATATGGAAGCTTGTGCACAGATGGGAAAAGTGTGTGACAGTGCTGGGAGACTGTGTTGAAAATATTTTTAAAAAGTAAGCTTCTATCTGTATTAGAAGTCCTTATACCGACAGAGTCACCTTATTTATTGAGTATCTCTCATAGAACAGGTTTTGTATCATGAAAGTAGTAAAACTGAAAAAAATAGTAGCTTTTTACATGCTCTCACCTTGAGAAGATGTCGATGAGAGTCCGCTGCTGTCAGGTGGGAACAGCGTGTTGTTGATTAAAAGGTCAAATTTGGTGCTACGGCAAGTGTTCGAACACAATGTAGTGTGTTGATAGAAGTCCAGTTGGCCCGAATCCATAATCTTTCTGGAAGGAGTGGAGAAAATTAATGAAGCTACTCATCAATTTGAAAGTCAGACTGAAATTCAGAATTAAAAGAATAAATGTGTCTAGTTTAATTTAAGGCAGTTTCACATTTATTTTGAATTATCCATCTCTCCATATTCTTCTGCTTATCTTGAGTCCAGTCGAAGGGGCGGCAGCTTCAGCAAGGAAGGCCATACTCTCCTCTCTCTAGCCATGGCACCCAGCTCTTCCAAGGGGATACCCAAGTCACCCAGAGTCTCGTCAACATTCCCTGGGTAATCTTCAGGACTTCCTCTTAGTGGGACGTTCCCAAAACAATTCACCAAGGAGGCGATCAGGAGGCTTTCTAATTAGATGCCCAAACAATGCCTCCTTTCAAAGTAGAGGAGCAGCAGCTCAACTCTGAGCCCCTCCCGGATGACCGAGCTTCTCACCTTATCACTAAGTGAGTGCCTGGGCACCCAGCGTAGGAAATGTATTTTGGCCACATGTATCTGGGATCTTATTCTTCCGGTCACAACCCCACAGCTAGTTACTTTAGGTGAGGGTTGGAACGTACAGTAGATCGACCGGTAAATCAAGAGTTTCACCTTTCAGCTCAGCTTCAGACAGACTGAAACAAAGTTTGCATTGATAAGGCTGTCGATCATCCCTGATCTGAAGAATGCACTTCACCCTTTTGCGACTAAGATCCTCCCATCAGTAAGTGAGAGCACGGATGCCTTGTAGAGAAAACTAATTTCGGACGCTTGTATACACAGTCTTCTTTAGGTCATGAGCCACAGCTGGTGACCATAGGTGAGGGTGGGTATAAACTCTGAAAATGGTCATACAGGAACAGAAGAGCCTGTATTAAGGGGTCCGGTACAGCAAACTCCACAGGACTCCGAGAGAGACGCTGTCGAAGCCTACCCCGAGTCCACAAAGAACATGTAGACTGGCTGGACAAATCCTACGCACCCTCCTCAGAAATCTTGCTGGAACTGCATTCAGGCAAAGAGCAATTAGCTACTCCCAGTAAATTATTAAAAGTATCTGTCGGTACTAAATGCTTTTTATTTGTTGAATTGATTAAATAACATGAAAGACAAAAAAACACTTTCCATGAAAATGAATAATTTGAAGAATGAAAGCCAGAGATGATTAAATATGATACTTTCAGACTTTCAGAAATAATTAGCTTTCACATTTAAATAACATACAGTGGTACCTCTACGCACGAACGTCGCATCATACGAAATGTTCAAGTTACAAAACGCCTCAACAGGAAAATAGTGCCTCTTGTTACGAAAGAAATTTCAAGATGCAAAAGGTCAAAATACAGTACAGTTTGCTACTCACAGCTCCGAGTTTCCTGAACGCAACATACTTAGAGCTGCTCTGCCATTGGCTATTACCGACCATCATCCTGGCATCCCATTGGCTAAGAGGGACTTCTACCTTACGTGTCAATGTGTGTAGATAGATGGATATGTGTCTTTGCAGCGTCCTCGTCATTCGCCCCTCCAGCCATGAGGTGCTCCGATAATTTGGCGTAAATCTGAATCACCCAGAAAAAGTGTTGACCAGTCGGACAATCGCTCACTATGGTGATGTTTGCCTTGGACATTTTCAAAGGATTGTTAGCCAACAAAAGCAAACGTCCTTGGATAATTTCTTCACAAAACGGCAGGCAAAAACCACTTCTGAGAGAGAACATGAACTAAAGAGGGCAAAAAAACAATGACGACGTAGTTAAAAGTTAAATGACCATCATTTTGCTCATGAACAAGCAGAGACTCAGTAAGTATAGTACCGTACGTAACCAGTGACTATTGAGTATGTACACAAGTGCTACGAGCAGTCATGATGAAAAGGTTAAAATATGAAGTGTGGACTAATGGTCTCTGCTTCAGGGTCATTAGCTGAAAATTTTAAGCTTTAGCTCAGCCAACGTTTGAATGATATGCTGCTGGCTGCTATGCCTTGCTGATCGTAAAGAAGAACGAACAAGAATAATTTTTTCGCTTCCTGGTGCCCGCAATGGAATAAAGTCCAGATAAACATATATAAACATATTGTCGTTATTGCTGCTAAACATACAAACATTTAAAAATAACAGCCCACCTTAGCATGACTCCACCCATCCGGATTGCTCGTTTCCAGTCTTTCAGAGTGGCTTTTCCAGAAATATGTACAAACTGCTTTGGACTGATCAGCTGATCGTCATACTAGGGAAGAGAGTATTGGCAAGGTACATATTAGTTTGTTGAGAGAACATGAAGACAGACGATAAAAAGAGACCGTAAATTGTGCTCAGGACAATAAGATAATGTGTATGGTCAGTTTAATGCAGTGCTTCTCAATTATTTTCTGTCATGTCCCCCCCAGGAACAAGAAAACATCTCGCGCCCCCCCGCGCAACTATAAATAGTATCATTTGTCTATAAAATTGTTGTTGTAAGTGCACCTCTGCATAACACCGTCTGTATCCTTATTGACGTAAAAGAGAATAAAAAAGAAAGAAATATGGACTTACAACAAAGAATAGCTTTATTAACTGTAACAGAAAAGATTTAAACTATAAGCATTTTTTGACTGACCATGTCAAACCATACGATACTAAAAAAAATTAAAATGACATAAAATCAATAAATAGTAATGCACTCAAACTGATCACCAACATTAACTCAGGCGCACAATCTGAAAAATAAACTTTAACCTCCAAAACAAAAATATATAAAATAATTTGTGCTGATTTTTTTAAAATCAAAGATGATGTCTGGATTCAATGCTACAAAGAGCACGTTTTGCAATGCACAGTTTTCGAAGCGAGGTTTGAAGCACGACACAGCAACTCTCGGCTTCTGCTCAATGTGTTGATGGAGCCTCGCGCCCCCCTGGATGTGATTTGTGTTTCCCTCCAGCAGCCTGGCTATATGTTTAAGGACTGAAGAGCTGCCTGGTGCTTGTCGGTTTATTGACCTTGTTGCTGCTCTTGCTCAAGTGTTGTTTATCAAGACTGCTCAATATTGTCACAGTCGTTCTCTTTCCAATGGTTCCACGTTTTGTAAGAATAGTCATTGTTTCGTCGTTTGATCTGACTTGTTATTATGAAGACATTTGTCCATATTGCGCTGCTAAACCTGGGTACCTAAGGACCATTTGAAATTGAAATCCAGATGGAAATGAGCAATACTAACCTTCACGCATTTTACATTGATTCCTGGGCACACAAATTTCTTCACTAGTAACATTGCTTTACTGTCACCACATGTTATAGGACAGCAAATTTCAACATCACCTTCCTCAGTCTCTTCTATAAAAATGAAAAGGTACACGTGAAACAAGACCACAAGGATCATGAGTATTTTGAAAAGACGGTCTCGTTGTTTCGTTGAAATACTCTTACCTGGATGTGCTTCATCTGTCATGACTGGCGCCCCAGTTTCATCAGATTTTTCTCTGCAAAGAAAATACTTTGAATTAATCATTGCATGTTTTGAACAGACACACCTGACATAAAGTAAATGTCTTGGACATTTAACATAACATGAGTTGAAGAATTACAGTGTTGCATCATTTTACGGGAGTGATATGTTGCAAGCCCCCCTCAAACGTAGTAAGTGATTTCCTGTGAAGCATAAGAAAATTTTTTTCTTTTTTTTTTTTAATGGGAGGGGGGATTTACGGCTCTATTAATCCATTACAACTCCCACAAACACACCCTTCTTCTTCCATTTAATGTAACTTTTAAAATGCAAAATGTAGAATAAATACAGAGCTGCTGATCATTTTTCAAGAAACAAATTTCCCCTTTAAAAAAAAACAGCCAGGGCTTGTTGAAGTGTAGTTTTGGTGAGTGATATTTTTAATCATTTGTTTTTATTTTAGTGTTTGAAAATGTCTTCACGTGAAAATGGCCATTCGAACTAAAAATATTGGGGTGTCAGAGTGATAGCATTCATGTAATTTTTATTTTTGTATTATTTTTGGACTGGTAAAAAGTCTGGAAAGCATTTTATTTACATTAAGTAAAAATAGCTCACCAATCGACTCCAAAAACCCTGATTACGTAAAGTCGAGCCAAAATAGTGCTGAGAAAATTATTTTCATTTGACCAATGAGAGGATATGGACTACTACTGTATATGAAAATCCCTATTCAGAGAAGTGCTTGACTGTAAACAAAACCCTAGGCTGCTAGATTCCTCCAATGCTCATATTTTGAAATAAATAAAAGCACAAAAATCAGACACATATTAAATGTTTTGCTTACTTTTGAATAATTGTTTGAGACAAACTTTTTGCTGTCTTAAAACTATCATTGTTGTGTAACACGGTATCTAAGTTGTCGCTAAAACCACTGAATCCAGTTACTTACCCTGCAGTAATGGACTGGAGCTGAAAGATGACCTGGCCTTTATTGAGAAACTCTGTGTTACTTTCACCATCAGTCTTCACCACCACTGCTTCCCCAGTGGACATGGCTCCATCTTCAGTCGTTGCCATCACGCTGTCGTGTTTTGTCAGCCTTGAAATATTACTTGCTACAGAATTTCATGTTGCTAAAATAGGATAAACACAAAGGTATGAAATAAAAATTATCTTGCAAGGTTTAAGAAGGTTTTACATTGCCTAATAAAAACGGTGAATTAAGTGCATATATATAAAATTACGGTATATAGCAGTTATCCAAAAACATTGTATTATGGCGTATGTTGTTGGTCTTGGGGATGGCTGGATTCATAACATGCAAGATCGACAGAGGAATTAAACTGGACGATGGACATTATATACTCTTCCCTGTTCAAAACATACGTTTCATTTCGGAAGCATAATGTGTTTTGGCGTTGACTGCTTGTCTTGGTAACGTTAAAACTCTCTCTCCATATCATGTTCGGGGCAGATAAAAACATCGTTAATACCAGAATAAAACGAAAGGAGCAGTGAGTAGCTGCGGCCAGATATTTTTTTTACTTTATACGGGCATCGATGGAAGCCATTACGTCCAACACAATGGCGTAACATATTGCTTGGGAGTAAATGGAGACTCGGTAACTCGATTACCAGTGACGCGTAAAGCCTTCAACTTTTCATGTCATTGTTACGTGCTACTTATCTACGAAACGTACGTCGTTTCGTAACTGCATTTTAACTCTCCGTTCCCCCGTAAAATGACGTCTGCTCGTGCGGAGCTACGCAAAGCAAACAACGGCGACAAGCCCACACCTACATTTCAGCCTGAAGCTTTGTTATTTACGCCATGAAGTGGCAACTAATTTTATAACATATGTATTTTAAAGATGAAATAAAATTACATTTCTTTACCGGTTGAGAGGAATTTACATCCTGAGATTCTGAAGAAGTTGCGCATGCGCTGTTGACTAGTTTAGCTTTACTTCCTGCTTCAAATCGACTTGCCAAACACGAGCCAACTTACGACTCCCAGAAAATGTCCATTTTAAGTTTCTCCAAACTTTTTTATTTTATATCATTGTGGAGCAGTTAGTTATACGACTATCAATGCAACAGATACAAACATTATTTTTTTTATCATTGTGGAGCAGTTAGTGATACCACCATCAATACAACAGAGACCGTTTTCTGTGTTTTAGTGTCTTAGGGCTCTGATATGTGTAAGTGTATCATTTTATAAGCAATCATTCGACTCAGTGTATTGGAGACCCCCGTCATTCGCGGCGGATAGTAACCGTCACGACCCCCGAATTGCGAATATTAGCTTAAAATTTACGTCCATAAAATGTATTGGAGGGTGGGCGTTGGGGTGCCCCCCCCCCCGGGTGCCCCCCCCCCAAAAAAAGCAGATAAACATTCAAGATACATATTCGGTGAAAAACGTGAAGAATTCCCACAAGAGCAAAGTATTAATAATAGTACGAATAATCATAACATTAATAAAATATTAATTCCGCAAATCTGCGGGTCCCAAACCACAAGTATGTGAGAGTCGACAGTTTTATGTTTTTGTAAATGCACAAAAAGCTGCAAAAAATCTCTATCATAGAAATCTATTATATGTCTTAGCAAGATGCCCCGCCTTGAGTGGACACTTTGCTGGGAAGCTTATGTGGGTCCAACATAAATACACTGTAAAAATAGTTACACTGTATAAAATAGTGACCGTAAAAGTTACAGTATTTTACTGTCAGCAGTGATTCGGTAAAATACTGCAATTATGTATTTCCAGTATAATACTGTCTATTTTTGTCCAGTTAATTATTTGGGGCAGAGCAACAACTGCTGCAAGATCACTCATGTTTTTGTCGAAAATTATTGTGATGAATGATGATGATGAAGATGATTGTTCTTGTTATTATTATCATCATCATCCATTAACCTGCCAGGCATGTTTTTGGAATGTGGGAGGAAATCGGCGTACCCGGAGAAAACCCACACAGGCATTGGGAGAACATGCAAACTCTACACAGGCAAGCCGGAGCCGGAATCGAACCCTGTGAGGCCGACACGCTGACCAGTCGACCACCGGGCCGCCCTGGTGCTATATGTGTGTAACGGAATATTACCATATACAAGTCTTAATCTCTTCACACCGACGTTATGACTGTGCCATTGATTTAATACCAAATGCCCCACTGCCAAGTTCCCGCTTACAACAAGTATCCCAACCTGAAAAAGAAGCACTCAGGAAGTACATCTCCAACTCATTACCTGTCGGCTTAATTCGTCCCTCTCAGTCAGAGGTGTCAAACAAATTTTTGGTGCAGGCCGCATTTTAGTTACCGTTTCAGTTGGAGGGCCGTTATGACTGAAACCGTATAAAGAAGTCAAGAATAACTATTGTTTAAGTTCCTATCATGAGGGGTTTGGTAAAAGGAAATGCTTAGAATATATCTCTTATTTATTACATATGAGGATTTAAAATCTTGGTAGACATTTTAGAAAGGATCATGGAAGTCTGTCGGAGCAGGTGTTCTCTTTAGCGAAAAGTCATTGCGTCCATGTGTCGATTATCACGACCTCAACGGCATTATCATTAAAAATAAATAACCCACTTCCATTATTAGACTCTGCTTTTGCACCACTACAGTCAGCTACTATTTTCACTAAGCTAGATCTCCGCAGTGCTTATTATTTGGTCCGGATTTGCGAAGGGGATCAATGGAAGACAGCCTTCAAAACCCCATGGGGACATTTTCAATACCTTGTCATGCCGTTTGGCCTCACGAACGCCCCAGCAGCTTTTCAGAGTTTGATTAATAATGTTCTGCGTGATGTTATATATTTAATTTTATATATTTAATCACTTTTGTTTTGTGTATTTAGATAACATTTAAATTTGTTTAGACTCAGGCGGTAGTGAATTGGCCATCTCCCACCACCCGGAAAAAAGTTGTAATGTTTTTGGGGGGTTTGCAAATTTTTATCGGCTATTTATTCAGAATTACAGTCAGCGAGCTGCCCCGTCCCCGTTAATTCTGAAATTAACTACGACGTGAGAAACTTGTAGCTATCGTCCTTGCGCTCCAGGAATGGGGACTTTGGCTTGAGGGGGGCCAAAGAATAACTCACCAAGAACACCAAGCACAACTTGTCGCGGATCCACAACCCAGCGGAGGAGAGTGCCGACCCAAAGAACATCTTACCTGACAGCTGCATTGTGGGCGCTATGAGGTGGGAGATTGAAAAGAGGTTTTTGGAGTTTCTGAACGGAACCCAGGTCTTAGCCGGAAGCCCGAACGAATATCTACTTGTGCCCCCGACATTTCCGTCCAGAAGTGCTGAAGTGGGGACACACCTCGGGGGGAGCCTGTCATCTGGGTGTCAACAGTACTTTGTCACTCATCAAGCGGAGATTTTGGTAGTCGGAGCTTGTTTAGGATATTGTGGACTTTGTTAATGCCTGTTCTGCCTTCGCCTGTGGCAAGACCTCACACCAGCTACTGGCGGGTTTTCTTCAGCCATTACCGGTTCCACCTCGACTATGGTCCCAAATCACCTTGGACTTCATCACCGGTCTCCCTCCTTTTGTCATCACAATTGTGGACCATTTCTCCAACCCATAAATCCCAATTTTTTTTCAGCCATAGAACCATCAAAATCAGGTGTCATTCATTGGGTGCCCTTTCAAGTGATCAAAAATAATAATTCTGAGAAAAATATAGACACATAGGTGAAAAAAAGCATGTTTTATGATTGGTCACAATTATGACCGGTGGTATAATATGCTGTAATGTCACTTCAAAATTTTTTTTTTTTTTTTTTTTTTTTTTAACAACACAGGCAAAATATGAAGAGCATTTATGTCAACAGCGAGTTTTGTTTTATTTCAAAATAACATGCAATCATGTGCATATTTTGTTCATGTTCTCAATGTAACATTTTGGTGCAAAATTCAATCGATCATGTGCATTCCATTAAGTGGTACAACAAAGTGGTACATTTTTCGGTGAAAAATTATTTTGAATTCCAGTCAGTCAGTCAAATTGTCAATACAGTCAGAAATCATATACGTACTGTTTAGATAGAAGCCTGCATACAATGGATGACAAAAACATTCCTCTGAACATGTATCATCTGTCAGTTCTACGACAATACAGAATTTGTTGACTCAACTGAACCTCTTCAAAGAACACTGCATTTCTCCTCCTCACTTTGCTGATTTTCAATATTGCTTTTTTTATTGGACCTTTTAGCCATTTACATTAACCATTTTCATTTGCAGGCGAGGGAAATGCGGGAGCAAAACTGGAGTACCCGGAAAAAACCCACGCAGGCATGGGGAGAACATGCAAACTCCACACAGGAAGGCCGGAGCTGGAATCGAACCCGGTACCTCTGTACTGTGGCTTCCAATAAATCATTCTAACTTTCATTAAATTTGGAATAGAAAAACAAAACAAACAAAAATCATTGTTTTAGCAAAAGTGGTTCCAGAGGAATTTGGTCAGTGATGCATCTCTCCCTTTGAGAGTTTGTCGTGCATTCTAAATATAACCTGACTGAGAGAAGGCAGTACTTACAATAATATCATCAAAGCAAAACCCTCAATCTATTTTAATGCTATTTTTATACTTTGTAATTTGTTCAGTAATGTAACTTTCTTCGCTTTTAGTGAATGGTCACAATATACCGAGGCTCGGCGTACGCTAATCACGCACTGCGGGGAGGGCACCCAAAAAAATTTCATCGCAATAAAACATATCATCATAGAAATTATAATAATAACAGTACATAATATTTTTAATAAAGGTGTGTGTAGTATGTTAATAAATATGTGTAATACCAAAAAATAACGTAGGTTACATTCCCTCGTTCCCGACCAAAAACCTGCTCGACCTCAAGAAATGCTTGTGGCGATTGCTTTATATAAACTCGCCAAAAACAACCTAAAAGACTGTTGTGGAAAAGTTGTGACCTACACATTGGTTAAGCTGTGAAAATGAAATGGAATGTTACGAGACAGACAACGTTGTTTGATATGCAATGACTATGCCGACATTTTCGAGGCAAGAGCGACATCTATTGGCGAAACTGTTACTTGGAAAAAATAATCGATCTTAGAGCTTGGAGAGTTCTCTTTTTTATATTCACTGTTCTTTGTTTATATCGTGCCCGATCAGTCCTTGTCAATAAAGGTACAAAACAGAAATTTTCATGGACCCGTGTTTTAAACATAGGCCTACTAATAAAATATTTTCGAAAAATTTTTGTACAATGGTTCAAAACTACATTTCACTGGAGAATCCTTGGAGATTTTGTCTTGTATTTCTGAAAGCATAATCAATGCTTCAGTATGTTCAAGGAGGAACTCAAGTGCACGTGAAACTTTCAGATGATCAACTATGTTTATTTGTTCATAGTAGTGGCATTTATTATTATTCATTCATTCATTCATTTTCCGAACCGCTTGATCCTCACAAGGGTCGCAGGGGGTGCTGGAGCCTATCCCAGCCGTCCCAAGTATGATTTTTCTAATTATTTATTTGTAGTTATTTGCGTATTTGGTGCCATTCTTGGTGTTTTATAAAGATTTCATTCGTATTATTTATGTCTTATTTTTGTGAAAGTTTTTGAAACATTAATATTGACATGTTATTTTGTAAAATAAAGCAAAACTGACAAATACTCAGATATTGTTCATTTCTGTCAGGGGTAGTGCGGTGTGTGCGTGTGTGTGTGTGTGTGTGTGTGGGGGGGGGGGGGGAGCACGACACCACAAAGCATTTTTGATGGGGGCACCAACGTCGGCCCTGAATATACTCGACCCTAAACTACCTAATCACAATCTGACAAACCTTTGTCAAAAAAAGTATCCATTCTTCTCAAACAAAACTTCAACCCGATACATTTAAAAAAAAAAAAAATGCTGCTCGTTCATGATCCATTCATTCATTCATTCATTTTGCTAACCGCTTCATCCTCACTAGGGTTGCGGGGTGGTGCTGCAGC